CAGTGCGCCCTCAGCTAGTCCCTCAGCCAGTGCGCCCTCAGCCAGTCCCTCAGCCAGTGCACCCTCAGCCAGTGCGCCCTCAGCTAGTCCCTCAGCCAGTGCCTCAGCCAGTGCCTCAGCCAGTGCGCCCTCAGCCAGCGCGCCCAAAGCCAGTGCACCCTCAGCCAGTGCGCCCTCAGCTAGTCCCTCCGCCAGTGCGCCCTCAGCCAGTGCGCCCTCAGCTAGTCCCTCCGCCAGTGCGCCCTCAGCCAGTGCGCCCTCAGCTAGTCCCTCCGCCAGTGCGCCCTCAGCCAGTGCGCCCTCAGCTAGTCCCTCCGCCAGTGCGCCCTCAGCCAGTGCGCCCTCAGCTAGTCCCTCCGCCAGTGCGCCCTCAGCCAGTGCGCCCTCAGCTAGTCCCTCCGCCAGTGCGCCCTCAGCCAGTGCGCCCTCAGCTAGTCCCTCCGCCAGTGCGCCCTCAGCCAGTGCGCCCTCAGCTAGTCCCTCCGCCAGTGCGCCCTCAGCCAGTGCGCCCTCAGCTAGTCCCTCCGCCAGTGCGCCCTCAGCCAGTGCGCCCTCAGCTAGTCCCTCCGCCAGTGCGCCCTCAGCCAGTGCGCCCTCAGCTAGTCCCTCCGCCAGTGCGCCCTCAGCCAGTGCGCCCTCAGCTAGTCCCTCCGCCAGTGCGCCCTCAGCCAGTGCGCCCTCAGCTAGTCCCTCCGCCAGTGCGCCCTCAGCCAGTGCGCCCTCAGCTAGTCCCTCCGCCAGTGCGCCCTCAGCCAGTGCGCCCTCAGCTAGTCCCTCCGCCAGTGCGCCCTCAGCCAGTGCGCCCTCAGCTAGTCCCTCCGCCAGTGCGCCCTCAGCCAGTGCGCCCTCAGCTAGTCCCTCCGCCAGTGCGCCCTCAGCCAGTGCGCCCTCAGCTAGTCCCTCCGCCAGTGCGCCCTCAGCCAGTGCGCCCTCAGCTAGTCCCTCCGCCAGTGCGCCCTCAGCCAGTGCGCCCTCAGCTAGTCCCTCCGCCAGTGCGCCCTCAGCCAGTGCGCCCTCAGCTAGTCCCTCCGCCAGTGCGCCCTCAGCCAGTGCGCCCTCAGCTAGTCCCTCCGCCAGTGCGCCCTCAGCCAGTGCGCCCTCAGCTAGTCCCTCCGCCAGTGCGCCCTCAGCCAGTGCGCCCTCAGCTAGTCCCTCCGCCAGTGCGCCCTCAGCCAGTGCGCCCTCAGCTAGTCCCTCCGCCAGTGCGCCCTCAGCCAGTGCGCCCTCAGCTAGTCCCTCCGCCAGTGCGCCCTCAGCCAGTGCGCCCTCAGCTAGTCCCTCCGCCAGTGCGCCCTCAGCCAGTGCGCCCTCAGCTAGTCCCTCCGCCAGTGCGCCCTCAGCCAGTGCGCCCTCAGCTAGTCCCTCCGCCAGTGCGCCCTCAGCCAGTGCGCCCTCAGCTAGTCCCTCCGCCAGTGCGCCCTCAGCCAGTGCGCCCTCAGCTAGTCCCTCCGCCAGTGCGCCCTCAGCCAGTGCGCCCTCAGCTAGTCCCTCCGCCAGTGCGCCCTCAGCCAGTGCGCCCTCAGCTAGTCCCTCCGCCAGTGCGCCCTCAGCCAGTGCGCCCTCAGCTAGTCCCTCCGCCAGTGCGCCCTCAGCCAGTGCGCCCTCAGCTAGTCCCTCCGCCAGTGCGCCCTCAGCCAGTGCGCCCTCAGCTAGTCCCTCCGCCAGTGCGCCCTCAGCCAGTGCGCCCTCAGCTAGTCCCTCCGCCAGTGCGCCCTCAGCCAGTGCGCCCTCAGCTAGTCCCTCCGCCAGTGCGCCCTCAGCCAGTGCGCCCTCAGCTAGTCCCTCCGCCAGTGCGCCCTCAGCCAGTGCGCCCTCAGCTAGTCCCTCCGCCAGTGCGCCCTCAGCCAGTGCGCCCTCAGCTAGTCCCTCCGCCAGTGCGCCCTCAGCCAGTGCGCCCTCAGCTAGTCCCTCCGCCAGTGCGCCCTCAGCCAGTGCGCCCTCAGCTAGTCCCTCCGCCAGTGCGCCCTCAGCCAGTGCGCCCTCAGCTAGTCCCTCAGCCAGTGCGCCCTCAGCCAGCGCACCCTCAGCCAACGCACCCTCAGCCAGCCCTCAGCCAGTGGACCCTCAGCCAGTGGACCCTCAGCCAGTGCGCCCTCAGCCAGTGCGTCCTCAGCCAGTGTACCCTCAGCCAGTGCACCCCTCAGCCATGTGAGTCCAGGGCGCGCCCTCAGCCAGTGTACCCTCAGCCAGTGCACCCCTCAGCCAGCCCCTCAGCCAGCCCCTCAGCCAGCCCCTCAGCCAGCGCCCGTGGCACCCAGAATAGCAGGATAGCGCACCTTGTTTCCCGAGGCCGTAGAGCTGGGCTGGTTTCTTTTTATTATTATTAAATATATATTTTTATTGATCTCAGAGAGGAAGGGAAAGGGGGAGATAGAAGCATCAGTGATGAGAGAGAACCCTCAGCCAGTGCGCCCTCAGCCAACGCACCCTCAGCCAGCCCCTCAGCTAATCCCTCAGCCAGTGCACCCCTCAGCCAGCCCCTCATCTAGTCCCTCAGCCAGTTCTTAAAGCGCCAGGGAAACTCAGGCCTCCGTCCTCATTGGCCGTGTGACCCTGTGGGAAGGTGGCGGTGTGGGTGTTCCTCTGTTTGCTCCAGAAGCATCTGGGGGGTGGGGCCTGGGCAGGTGAGTGGCCTGCTTTCACCTGAGTCACGAACCTGCTGTGTTCCAGATGCTGCTCCCACCCCGGGCATCTCTCAGCGGGACTCTGGGCCCCCTCCCGGCCAGCGGGGAGCGTACCCCACAGGTAGACATCCCCGGGCGCGGCACCACACCGCGGGGTTCGTACAGACTGCGGGTGGGAGTGTGGGACCCCTGCCCCCCCCCCACCATGGGGTGGGAGAGGAGCTTGTTAAATGCAGATGCCCAGGTCCCGCGCCCGGGTTCTTAATCCATCCGTCTGGGGTGGGGCCCAGGACCCCGCATCCCCAGGGGCTAGGGTCTGGGTTCAGCTGCATTTGCAAAGGGCTCCCCTGGGCTCTGCTTCTGCTCAGGGGGACATGGCCCTAAGGTGCCTGCAAGGGAAGGGGCATGGGAGGGTGACGGGTGGGGCACGGTAAGAACCGGACGGAGGAGGCCATGCGCTGTGGGGCAGAGGGAGGGAGGGCCTCAGGGAGGTGTCCCAGGGCTGGTTTCTGGGGACAGAACTCTGAGAACGGGGGCGGATTTCTGCAGGGCGTGGACATGGGTATCACCTGGGGGGTAGCACCAGGGTGGGGGTGTGGTAAGAATCTGCCCCTTACCCCGGAGACCCCACCCTGACCCCCAGCTGTGCGGGACACGGAGACCCCAGTGCTGCTGGCACCTCACCTTTGCCCGTCCCCCCTCCTCTCGGAGGTCCGAGCGCCCTGTGGTCTCAGGTGGTCAGGACCAGGGTTTGAGAAAGCAGCCCGCCCTCGGACGGGGCAGCAGGGGCAGCTCAGGACAGCTGTGAGGTGCTGCCCGCTGCCCGCTGGGGGCTGGCCAGACCCCAGAGCTGCCCAGTCTCTGCCCTGGCCCCGCCCATGGGAGGGGGTGTTTTCTCTGGGTCCCTTTGCTGGAAAGTTCTAAGGGGGTGCAAGGCTGTTCAAAGGGCGTGGGACTCTCTCCCTACCTCCTCTCTCTCCTCCCCTCCCTAACCCCCGCCCCCAGCAGCCCCTGGGGCTCTGGGGACTCCTGGGTTCTGGAGGCCTCCTTGGG